GAATCAAGCAGTCTGTTGAAAAATGCATGTATAGGATGTTAGGTATTAAAGATATTAGTGTTTTGGTTCATGGTTTTTAAATGAGTAAAGTTCAGCTTTTGTTGTCTTGTTTGTAAGTCAGAAATATTCAACATTTTTTTTTTTGGTACCAGGGATCAAACTTGGGTCCTTGTGCTTGCGCAGCAGGCAGCGAAACCACTGAGCTAAATCCCCAGCCCATATTCAACATTTTTGTAGGTGCTGGGTAGAACCCAAAAAAGGAAAATTTGTTTTTTTATAAAAAATTAAATACAGTATTCAGTTACTATCAACATTTTGGAAATCTTATTTCTTCTATACTTGATTTTCTATAATATGTATTTTTACAGAGTTTCTTGATTGAAAAATTGTTGCATTTGGTTGATGAATAACATGTCTCTTTTATAACTCCTTCCTTTTCTTCACTTACACTAATGATTTGAAGAGACTGGGTGACTTGTTCTGTGGTCTGAATTTGGCTAATTTCAACTTTGATGCGTCATCTGAATTGCCTCTTTGCTCTCTATATCTTATAGACTGGTTGTTGGATCTAAGGCCCTTTTCTTTTCTTTCTTTTTGGAGTGGGGCAAGAAATTTCCTGGGTGGTGCTGTGTATTTCCTGTGTAGCACATGAAGGCAAAAGGCTGATCATTTGATTCAGGTGATCTCGGTTTAATTTATAATATTCCCCATCAACCAACCTTTCATGTGGTGCATTTTAGCAACTAATGATGATTTTGACAGAAAGCCTTTACATCAGTTGGACTGGAAAAACATGACATTCAAATTCATTGCTTCTGCATTTATTAGCTAGAATATTTACTCTAAAGAAGAACCTACTCTCATTGACTGATTATCCTGGAATGTTTTATGTAAGCTGTACAGACTGAATGTCTGTTCAGTTCTTTTGTTTCATTTGCTAGTTTTCAGAATATTGATTTTCTTTTGTGTGCTGGGGATCGATCCAAGACCTCATGTGTGCTAGGCAAGTACCCTATGCCCAGCCCAGAACACAGATTTTCTAAGGTATCATTATAAACTGTATGACTTTATATATTTGGTGTTTTTCAGTCCATTTGCAGCTTTTGTTTTTTTGAATCCTCATTATTTTGGCCAGTAGGAGCTCCTTCAAGCCGCACTGTTTTGTTGCGATCCCATTCATTCTTAGTATATTTTTGCTTTTTTTTGCCTTTTTCTTTTTTTTTTTTTGGTCCTGGGGATCGCACTCTGGTCCTTGCACTTGCGGGGCAGGCGGCGGAACCACTGAGCTAAGTCCCTGGCTATATTTTTGCTTTTAAGCATGATAAAATGCCCTAGGATCATCTTGAAATTTCTTGGCCATACTTCAATTTCACCATTTTTTTAACGAACATAGGTTAGGTCCAAGGAGATTTTTGAAGGAACAGGATTTTACTTTGGGAAGCCATTGAAGAGCAAGGATAGATAGAATGCAGTTGTGTAAAATTGTAGTCATGCTCTGCAGCGGGGGGGGGGTCTGTCAGTGCTGTGGAAAATGCCATTGGTTCCTGGAATGTTTGGGAAAGCCTTTAGGAAGAAGGGAACTGGAGCTGGGCAGCTTCACAGAAGCAGAATCTTTGTGCCCACTGCAGGAGAAGTAGTGAGGAGCTGTGAAAGGGCCGGCAGGGTAGTGAAGGGGCCTGACTAGACATAGGACTGGAGCTGTGGTCTTGGTCTAATAAGCACTGGGGAAAAGAAAAGGCGCTTCTGAGAGACAAGCGAGGTTGTGCTTTGGAAAGGTTGATCGTGCAGCAGGAAAAGCAGTGGCCTAAAGCTGTGGTTCTTGGCTAGGATTGCAACCAACTCTCTGAAAAATTAAAAACAAAGTGGCAGACTAAGACCGGAGTCTATCTTAAACCTGTTGAGTACTGGACAAGGGGAGTCTAGGCTCATTTGCATTTCAAAAGACCCCCGTGTGATTCTATTTTGTGTGACCCTGTTAAAGGACTATTGAATCAGACTAAAAGCTCCAAAGAACAGTTGATTCGTTTTAAATATTCTAGGCATGTGGTAGTAAGGACATGGATTAGGGTGATGGCAGCAAGAAGGGGGGGTACAACAATGAAAATTCATGTCTGAAAAGGTTTCATACCGTTTCTATGAATTATGTTAATACTGGTACAAGGATTCAAAGAGAAGGAAACAAAGATGACCCCAAGTCTTATATGTGGGGCCCTGGGAAAATGATATTGATGGAAGTGGGAAGTTTGACAGATTGCTAGTTGGAGGAGAAGATAATGTGTTTATGGATATGATGAAAGTTGAGAGAATGATTATGTATCAAAGAGAACTGGGGCCAGGGATTTAGCTCAGTGGTTCCAGTGCCTGCCTCGCAAGCACAAGGTCCCGAGTTCGATCCCCGGTACCAAAAAGAAAAAAAAACAAAGAGAACTGGAGGGAATGGAAATGTATTTTGTTTTTCTTTTTCTGAATGCTTTATGAATTCTTTTTTTTTTTTGCATAGTATTCAACTAGTGAACATAAGATATGCTACATTAATTGGGATGTTTAATAACTTAAATTTTATTTAATGATCGTAAAAATATGTGATATATTAAATAAAGAACTGTCAATTAAATGTAAAATGGGAAACAGACTGGAAAAAACATTGGTGCGTTTACATAAAGATTAATATAAAAATTATAACCATTTGAAACAAAAACAAAATCAGCAATCTAGGCAAAGGATTTAAATAGATAATTGTTTGTTTGGTTTTTTGTTTTTTGGGGGATTTTTTTGGTACCAGGGATCGAACTCGGGTCCTTGCGCTTGTGCAGCAGGCGTTGAAACCACTGAGCTAAATCCCCGGCCCCAAGGTTTTTGTTTTTTGAGGCAGGGTCTCCCTTTGTAGTTCAGGCTGGTCCTGAACTCACTATGTGTAGCCCAGGCTGGCCTGGAACTTGTGGTGATCCTCCTGCCTCAACATCCTGAGTGCTGGAATTACAGATGTGCACCACCGAGCCAGGCTTAAATAGATAATTCTTGCCAGATGTGGTGCACATCTGTAATCCCACCACTCAGGAGGCTGAGGCAGGAGGATTGGTGTGAGTTCGAGGCCAGCTTGGGCTATGTAGGGAGTTCAAAGCCAGCCTGAATGAACTATATAGGGAGACCCTGTCTCAAAAAAACAAAAAATAAGATTTTAAAAAAATGATAATTCTTGCAGGTGGACAGTATAATTCACTTGTTTACCAGACAGATCAGGTCTTCTTCTGAATGTTAGCACAGAAGACAGGAGCTCACCGAGTAGTCTGGCGTGGTGTGAGAGGTGGACGGTAGAGATGTTCCCAAAAGCAGGGATTTCAGGTACTGATGATCCTGTTAAGATAGGGAGCTGGCTGTGGTGGCCCACACCTGTGGTCCCTGCTCCTGGGAAGTCAAATCAAACCCTGCCTGGGCAATTTAGTGAGACCCTGACTCAAAAGGAGGGGGAGATGTAGCTCTGGTAGACAGCCCAGTACTGGGGGAAGAAAAAAAGGGAAATTTGATAGGGTGAGGAGGTAGAAAGTGACTTTTGGGGTTTTATTTTTTGTTTCGTTTTTGCCTTTTCCTGGGGAAAGCATTGGTAGTGTTGAATTGACAGATATTAGCGTTTCTAATCTGCTTAATTATGTGGAAAAAATTTGGTCAGATTTACGTTCTGCGGGCTTCCCTGATAATTGGACTCATACTTTTCTTTTTTAGACTTTTCTTTTGCTAGGTTGTTCTTGAAGATGTTTATATAATGGATTTCTTCCTGACAAGAGAGATCAGTTGTTTCTTGTGGATTTTTTCCACTGAATAGTATAGGTTTTATTCTTTTGGGAGGGAAACTATTCCTCTGAAAATGTTAGCACTTGTGGCATCTTTGATGTATAATTTGATTCTGCTAGAAGTCCCTGGCAAGGCAGGAGATAGGCCTGAGTCTGGGCAGCTTCTGTGCTTCTTTTGCCAGGAGGTGTGAAATACCAGGGGTCTTCAGCTAGGGGACTCACTGAGCGCTGAGCCAGCTGGATAGAACTGCTCTCTCCTCTGCTGTTTAACCCTAAGTCATGTAACCACATGTTTCCAACTGCAGTTAAAGCCTAGAGGTCAATGCATTTCTTTAAAGAAAGGTAATAAGGAGTTTGCAGATGCAAAGCTTAAGAAACTTTTAACAAAAGCTGGGCTTGGTGGCGCACACCTGTGATCCCAACACTTGGAAGCCTGAGGCAGGGTGATTGCTGTGAGTTCAAGGCCAGCCTGCACTACAGAGTGAGACATGTCTGAAAAAAACGCAAAGAAGGGTGGAGGGGGTGAAGGGTGCACAGGTAATGGGAAAAAAAAAAAGAACTAAGATACATCATGTACAGGTACAAGCACCCAATGATAAATGTAAATGTATTGTATACCTAAAATGTACCAATAAAAGAATAAAAAGAAAAAACCCCAAAACAAACAAAATATTTTATTTATTTATTTTTTTGAAGTACCTGGGATCAAACTCAGGACCTTGTGCTTGAGAGGCAGGTGCGGTGCCACTGAGCTAAATCCCCTGCCCTTTATGTTTTTAATATATTACTGAGGGGCCGGGGATTTAGCTCAGTGGGGCTGGCACCTGCCTCGCGAAGCACAAGGTCCTGAGTTCGATTCCCGATACCAAAAAAACCCAAAACAAACAAAAAAATCCAAAATATGTTACTGAAAAGTGACCTAGAAACACAAAAACAAGATAAATGCCTATGATTCTGCAGTTCTAAAAACCATTATTAATAAGTTCAGGGACTTTTTAGGAATGAGAAGGTGCTAATAGAATAGGAAAACAAATTTCAGTCTTTAATATTTGATAATTTACTGCTGGGAATACACAGTTTGCAGAGGAGAAAAAGATGAGGATTTTAGAAATGGAAACAAATGGAATGTCAGGTAGCAGCCTCTTATGCTTATGTTGGCCAGTGTTTCCTTTAATTCTGACTGCCTTGTGTGGAACTGTTTTCTTTTCAAAGGAAACTTGATACAACCCCAGAAGAAGACTCGAGTCCTTGTTGTGGGATTGCGTGTATATCCAAGGCCATCAGGATGTCGGGAGCCTCGGTGAAGGTGGCTGTCCGGGTGCGGCCCTTCAATTCTCGGGAGACCAGTAAGGAGTCCAAGTGCATCATTCAGATGCAGGGCAGCTCAACCAGTGAGTACGCGCTGCTTTCTCTCCCTCCTCCCCTTCCTGTTGTGATCAGAAGTGAACTCTGTGTAATTAAAGCTTTGAACTTTGCCATTCTGGAGGCTCCTCTGAATGCGTCCTGCTCTCAGGTGTTTGCTGTGGTACTTCGGTGTGGATTGCGTGTTTCACTCTTCATAAACCAGAAACTGCAAAGAACTGAATTATTTTAGCTACTTCTGATGCTGCTTATTAAGTTGACATCTTAATGACAATAAGGTATAAGCAGTGATTTTTACTAAATCCTGGTGTGGATATACCTAAGGCCCTAGAGTCACTGTTTTTCTTTCCTGATTTTCAATAGCAGTTGAGCCTGCTGAGATGGTATTAAAACTTCTAGCTTATAGTGGCTGAGTTGAAAAATGGATATAACTAATTTATACTCACAAATCAGTGTTAAAATGACCAGTCGTTGCTTCTGGCTTGTTTCTCTATAGAATTGCTTAGGTAAAAATGACTTAGACTTGTTTCTTTTGTACCTCCACTACCATCTTACTAGGGTTCTGTAGGCAAATCCTTATTTAAAATAGAAGTGGGCTCTGCCCCTTTTAAACCTGAACCTTTGCAATAAAGCAGAATCATTGATTTTTCAGACACAAGATTACTGCTGCAGAGACCATTCCGACTTCATCTGCCTATGTGCCCCTTGCCTGTGTTCTGTGTAGAGGAGTCTACCGGGGAAGTGTGTGTTCCACAGGGAAGACAGCTAGATCCTGCAGTCTGCATTTCAGTGTGGTTCATGTGCAACTTTGTATATCCAATTGCCTATACTCTCCTCTGAACTTAATAGATAGGGCTTGTAACAAAAATGAATCAAGTGCTGGGCACAGTGGCACATGCCTGTAGTTCTTGCTACTCAGGAAGCTGAGGCAGGAGGATTGCTTGAGCCCAGGCATTTGAGGCCAGCCTGTGTAGCAGAGTAAAGCTCTGTTTCAAAAAAAAAAAAAAAAAAAAGATTAAAAACTAGGAGTCTAGGGCTGGGGATTTAGCTCAGTGGTTCCACTGCCTGCCTTGCAAGTGCAAGGTCCCAAGTTTGATCCTGGATACCAAAAAAAAAGGCCATATTCAAGAAATCAAAATATCAATAGATAGAGTAAATGGACAGCCAGGGATTTAGCTCAGTGGCACTGCACCTGCCTCCCAAGTGCAAGGTCCTGAGTTCGATCCCTGGTGGTGGTGGTGGTGGGGTAGAACAGTCTCCCAAGTGCTGGGATTATAGGCTTGCGCCTCCACACCTAGCCAAGATGTCCTGGATTTTAAATTGGCTTTATTTATATTCATTGCCAGGGTAAAATAGCATTATCTTATTTTCCCTCCAGTTTTGATTTATTTTTGTAAAGGGGTAAAACATTTCCTTGTAATATAAAACTCAGAAAGTACAAAGAATCTGCAGTACAAAGACTTCTTATCTTACCACATAGTGAACTAGTTCCTCTCCCAGAAGCAGCAGGTTAGATTTCCTTCTAGAGATTGTTCATGTTTCCTTCTATAGACAGTTCATACAGCAGCATCTTTTTCTAAGGTAGTTTTTTCCCTTTTCTTTAGTGAGAAGGCATCCTGGCAACTCATTTGTCAGTCTTTCCTGTACTGCATGCTTTACGTACTTTAATAATACAATTTATGTTTATAATTTGTAAAAGTTGGTAGTTGTTTCCTTTGAGATTTTTTTTTTTTTTTGGTACCAGGTACCAGAGATCGAACTTGGGTCTCCGCTTTCAGGCGGCGGAA